GGGAATTGGCTCGAAGTAATAAGCACTTCCTTGGATAGGGTAAGGACCTAAGTTCACATCCGGGTTTGGCGAACAAAAAATTTGTTTTAAATTATTTTAAATTAATTGTGGTAAGGCTCAAGGCACAGGGATTTGAAACACAGCCTCCTGAATTACAGTGCTTTGACTCAAAAGGCTCAGCAGGACCTCAGGTCATGGGCACAGCAGAATTCGGAAAGTGCTTTTTCTGCACGATACTGCTATGGGACCCAGTTTGCCAGTCTAGTGAAGGCATTCACTGTTTAATGTAGAAATGAGGGTTTCGAAGCTATGGTAGGAGAAAGAGATCTTTCTCCTCTTCAAACTCACCTCCACAGTCCGAAAGAGTTCAGAAGCTGAGTTCTAAGAGGAGAAAGTACCACTAAATGCAAGGCCTTTTCAGAAGCTGGGCCTTCTTAAGGCTGCTCTGGTCTCCAGGCAAAAATTGAATTTCTGGTCCAAATTCCTTTGGCTACCTCCTCCATTCACCGTATAATCCATGCACGGTGCCTGAGAAAACATTCTGAAGCTCCAGCCTCCCACTCCCAGTCATTTATAGAAAAAAATGGAATAAGGGTGTTTTCTTTTTGCTAATCGAATGACTTCAGAGCACTATTGGCTAGCTGGAGTGTTGTGGTTATTGAAACTACAGCAACGTGAGGCTGACAGCTTTGTAGAAGCAGCCACTTGAAGAACTGAGCTAGGGCCAGGGCCCCGAGTAAAACAAACATGCTCAGCACTTTGTTCTTAAGGGCCACAATAGGAAGTAGCTGTGCCAAGCCTGATATCCCCAGGTGCATTTCATTATCTCCACCATAGGATTTCAGTTTCCAAGTGTGAATTTATGGTGGAGAAATTTCAGACAGTGTATATGCCCTTTAGGAAGGAGGCCAACCTAAAACTTTTCACCAAAACAGCTCCCAACAGGACTCACGTTCTCCAATTCAACTGGAAAACACACTTATGAATCCATGACTAGCAGGCAAGTCTCCTCGGAAATAGTTTCAGGTAAAATTTTTCCATCGCGTTCCATGTAGAGAACAAGTGGATGTGGATTTGTTAATAATCTCCTTAAAAATTAGAAAAAAATTTAATTCTATAAATTTTTTTTTCTTGGGCAGGGGAGTTGGCTCAGAGGAATAAGAACTTCCCTGGCTAGGGTAAAGGCCTGAGTTCACATTCGTATTCTGCGAAAAAAAAAATTATTTTTAAATAGTTTAAATTAATTGTGGAAAGGCTCAAGGAACAGGGATTTGAAACATAGCCTCCTGAATTTCAGTGCTCTGATTCAATAGGCTCAGCAGGACCTCAGATCACGGGCATAGCAGAATTCAGAAAGCTCTTTTATTCCCCGTTACGGCTACTAGACCCAATTCGCCAGTCTAGAGAAGGCATTCACCATTCTATGTAGAAAGGACAGCTTTGAAGCTATGGTAGGAGAAAAAGAGATCTTTCTCCTCTTAGAACTCACCTCCAAACTCTGAAAGAACTCACCTCCAAACCTGAAGCTCCAGCCTCCCCCTCCCAGTCCTTTATATAAAAAGATGGAATAAGGGTGTTTATTTTTGCTTCTCAAATGACTTCAGGGCAATTTTGGCTAGCTGGAGTGTTGTGGGGATCAAACTACAGCAACCTGAGGCTGACAGCTTTGTGGAGGAAGCCAGTTAAAGAACTGAACTAAGGCCAGGCCCACATGTAAAGCATTCTTCCTCAGCACTTTCTTCTTAAGGGTCAGAGTGGGACCCAACTATGCCAGGTCTGACATACCCAGGTGCATCTCATTCTCCATACCAGAGGATTTCAGATTCCAAGGGTGAATCATTGGTGGAGAATTCCCGAGAAGGTACAGAAGCTTGACAAAGGGGGCCCTCCTGAACTTTTTACCCTTGTCAACCACCAACAGGACTCCCATTCCCCAATTCACTAGAAAATGCATTCATGAATTCATCACCAGTACACAAATGTCCTCGGAAATAGTTTCATGCAAAATTCTTCCATTGATTTCCATGTAGAGAACAAGTGGAGAAGTATTTCTTTTGAATTTTCTTAAAAATTAGAAAAAATTTTAACTTTATGAAAATTAATTTTATTGGGCAGGGGAATTAACTTAAAATAATAAGCACTTCCTAGGATAGGGTAAGGACCAAAGTTCACATCCGGGTTCAGCGAAGAAACAATTTGTTATAAATTATTTTAAATTAATTGTGGTAAGGCTCAAGGAACAGGGATTTGAAACACAGCCTCCTGAATTACAGTGCTCTGACTCCATACGCTAGGCAAGAACTCAGACCATGAGCACACCAGAAATGGAAATGCTCTTTCCTTCCCCTTGACTCCAAGGGGACCCAATTTGCCAGTCTAATGAAGGCATTCACAGTTCCATGTAGAAATGACAGTTTCAACTCTATGATATGAGAACAAGATATCTTTCTCCTCTTAGAACTCACCTAAGAGTTAGGAGCCTGAGTTCTAAGAGGAGAAAGTCCAGCTCAATGCTGGGCCATTTTGGAAGCTGGGAATTCCTAAGGCTGCTCCATTCTGAGGCATAAAGTGAATTCCTGGTCCAAACTCCTTTGTATACCTCACAAGTTCACCAAGTATTCCACACCCAGCCCCTGAGAGAACATTTTCCCTGAAGGTGCGGACTCCCACGCCCAGTCCTTTCTAGAAAAAAATGGAATAAGGGATATTTTTTGTTTGCTCCAAAGGCCCTCAGGGGTCGTTTGGCTGGTTGAAGTGTTGTGGGGATCGAACTACAGCAACCTGAGGCTGACAGCTTTGTGGAAGCAGCCACTTAAACAACTGAGCTAAGGCCAGGCCCCTGAGAAAAACACACTTGCTAAGCCCTTTGTTCTAAAGGGCCACAATGGGATCCAGCTGTGCCAGGCCTGACAGCCCCGTGTGGAGCTCATTCTCTCCACCAGAGGATTTCAGATTCCAGGGTGAGTCCATGGTGAAGAAATTCCCTAGAGTGTCTAGGCCCTTTGTGAAGAGTGGCCCTCTGGGACCGTTTCCACTAGACAGCCTCCAACAGAACTTCCGGTCCCCAATTCAACTGGGAAATGCATTGATGAACACATCACCTGCAGGCGAGTCTCCTCGGAAAGAGTTTTGTGGACAATTCTTCCATTGAGTTCCCTATGGCCAACAAGTGCAGATGGATAAGTTTTTAAAGTTTGTCAAATATTAACAATAAATAATCATTGAAAATCTTTTTACAAATTAATTTTAGGGCTGGTGAGATGTCTCAGTGATCTAAAGCAACTTCCTAGAACAATTTTAGCAAAGCACAGGGATTGCCATTCAAGCCCCCAACACCACATCCCACCCAGCCCAGCCCCCTCATTGGCAGAGCTGGCCACACACACACACACACACACACACATAAATAAAATAAAGACAGAATAAAAATTAATTTTAATGGGCCGGGGAGAAGACTACGTGGAAGAAGTTCTTCCCTGGCAAGCACAAGGGCCGAGCTCTATTCCTGGTTCTGCCAAATAAAAATTATTTTGAATTTTTTTTATTTTATTGCTCAAGGTATGGGGATTTAAAACACAGCCTCCTGAATCTCAGTGCTCTGACTCGATAGGCTCGGCAAGAACTCAGACCATGAGCACACCAGAAATGGAAATGCTCTTTCCTTCCCCTTAACTCCAAGGGGACCCTATTCTCCAGTCTAATGAACGCATTCACAGTTCCATGTAGAAATGACAGTTTCGACTCCATGATATGAGAACAAGATATCTTTCTCCTCTTAGAACTCACCTAAGAGTTCGGAGCCTGAGTTCTAAGAGTAGAAAGTCCAGCTCAATGCTGGGCCATTTTGAAAGCTGGGAATTCCTAAGGCTGCTCCATTCTGAGGCATAAATTGAATTCCTGGTCCAAACTCCTTTGTCTACCTCTCCAGTTCACCAAGTATTCCATGCCCGGCCCCTGAGAGAACATTTTCCCTGAAGGTGCGGACTTCCATGCCCAGTCCTTTCTAGAAAAAAATGGAATAAGGGATTTTTTTTTGTTTGCTCTGAAGTCCCTCAGGGGTCGTTTGGCTGGCTGAAGTGTTGTGGAGATCGAACTACAGCAACCTGAGGCTGACAGATTTGTGGAAGCAGCCACTTAAACAACTG